TTCCCTCCATTGTTGCAAGCTTCTCCCCCTTCCAGCTGAAGTAACTTCCAGAGGATTGAAAGGGTCAGTATTCTCTTTTTTCCTCCCTCCATTTTTCTCATTTTCCCTTTTTGGGAAGCAGACATGAAAGAGTAGGATGTTCAAAAGCAACTCCATATAAAGGGAAAATTAGAAAGTCATCATGCACACCCAGGGAAAGGTGCAGGCTCAGAAAAGACTTGAGAAGATATTAAGTTTACACCTCAGATTCTTGGCACAGAGACAGCGTACAACAATCAAAAACCCCAAAACAATAAACAAAAACTATAAAGCCTTAGGGAAGGGAGAGAATCTGATATCCAGAGTTACCACATTATTAGATTCAAATGTCCAGTTTTCAACAACAACAAAAAAAAATCACAAAGCATATTTAAAAAAAAAGCAAAGTATGGTCCATTTAAAGGAAGAAACAAATCGACAGAAACTGTCCCTGAAAAGAACTGATAGCAGATCTACTAGACAAGGACTTTATTTATTTTTTTTTTTTGAAGGGAAGAAAGTACTTTATTTTTTTTTAATTTATATATATATTTTTTAATTATATATGAAATTTATTGTCAAATTGGTTTCCATACAACACCCAGTGCTCATCCCAAAAGGTGCCCTCCTCAATACCCATCACCCACCCTCTCCTCCCTCCCACCCCCCATCAAACCTCAGTTTGCTCTCAGTTCTCAACAGTACTAGACAAGGACTTTAATACCACTGTCTTAAAGATATTCAAAGAACTAAAGAAAGATTTGAAGAAAGTAAAGAAAATGATGCCTGAACAAAATGGAAATATCAATGAAGAGATAGAAAAACTAAAAAGAGGAGCACCTGGGTGGCTCAATTGGTTAAGCATCTGACTTTTGATTTCAGCTCAGGTCATGTTCACAGTTATGTTATCTAGCCCCATGTCAGGCTCTTTGCTGGGCGTGAAACCTGCTTAAGATTCTCCCTCTCTCTCTGCCCCTCTCCCCAACTCCTGCTCACTCTTGCTCTCTCAGCAGAAGAAAGAACCAACAAACTTGAAGATGGGAAAACAGAAATTATTAAGTCTGAGGAACAGAAAGGAAAAAAAATAAAAGTGACCAGAACGTAAGGGACCTGTGGAATACCATTAAAGTGGAACAACATATGCATCATGTGAGTCCCAGAAGAAGAAGAGATAAAGAAGCCAAGAGAATATATGAAGAATTAATGGCTGAAAACTTCCTAAATTTGTTGAAAGACATGAAATAAATATCCTAAGAAGACCAATGAACTCCAAGTAAGATGAACTCAAAGAGACCCACACTAAAACATATTATTATTAAATTTCAAAAAACAAAACCAAAGAGAGCATCTTGAAAGCCACAAGAGAAAAAGGACTTGTCATATACAAGGGGTCTTCAATAAGATTATCAGCAAATTTTTCATCAGAAAACTTGGAGACCAGAAGGCAGTGCTATTCAAAGTGTTAAAAGAAAAAAACTGTCAACCAAGATTCTATATCCAACAAAATTAACCTTTAAGAATGAGGGAGAAATTAAGACTTTCCCAGATAGGGGTGCCTGGGTGGCTCAGTTGAATGTCCAACTTTGGCTCAGGTCATAGTCTCACAGTTCATAAGTTTGAGCCCCACATTGGGCTCCATGCTGTAAGCCCAGAGCCCACTTTGAATCTTCTGTCTCCCTCTCTCTTTGCCCCTCTCCCACTCACACTCTCCATCAAAAATAAAAATAAACATTAAAGAAAAAAAGAGTTTCCCAGGTAAACAAAAGCTGAGGGAGTTCATTACCACTAGGCCTACCCTGAAAGAAATGCTCAAGGGAGTACTGCAAGATAAAAGAACACTAGTCAGTAACTTGAAGGCTTATGACAAAATAAAGATCTCAATAAAGGTAAATACATAGGCAATTATAAGAGTTATTATTACTGTAACAATGGTTTGTAACTCTACCTTTTGTTATCCACATGAATTAAGAGAATAATACATTTTCTAAAAATTATTAGTCTAAAAGCTAACATTATTGTAACTTTGGTTGTAACTCTAATTTTGTTTTCTGATTAATGCATTTACACAAATTAGTTTATGGTTTGTGGCACACAATGTTCAAAGATGTAATTTTGTGACATCAACTATGTGGAAAGGGGACAGAGCTGTTACAGGAGCAGGGTTTGTTTGTTTGTTTTAATTTAGTAAAATACACATAACAAAATTTACCATCTTAACCATCTTTATGTGTCCAATTCATTGGTGCTAAATACATTCATAATGTGCTACCATTACCACCATCCATCCCCCTAATTCTTTCATCCTGTAAAACTGAAACTCTATACCCATTAAACAATAAATCCCTGTTCTCCCCTCCCCTTGACTCCTGGAAACTAACATCACACTTTCTTTTTTTATTATTTTTGACTACTCTAAGTACCTCCTACAAATGGAATCATACAGTATTTGTCTTTTTGTAACTGTGATGTTATGTTCAGGAACTGATCAGTTTAAGTCCTCACCCCAGAGAAGCTGGGCAAAAATAAAATAGCATACAGGCTTTACAAGCAGACTGTTTGTTCTCTGGACTGGTCAAGGCTTGCAATTCAAAACCCATGATTGTTAACCCATAAATGCTTAGATCTTTAAGCAAGTTGGCAGAGATCTTTGAAAATTCTATCCCATTGGTGGGCACTGTTTCCAAAATGTACATTCTCAGGTTGATTCTGTACTTTCAACCTGTGTGAGCATGTGTGTGGTGAAGAAATGGATGAGGGTTTGTTACTAGACATGTTGATCTGTATATAACCAAAGAGTTTAAGGCTGATATATACTTCTTGTTAAGCACAAATTCAACTTAAGCTGGCTCTGTATGATCTGATGCAAGAACACAAGGTAACAATATAATTCCTTAGATGAAAAAGGCAGAGGCTCCTCAGTGGCCTTAACACATCAACACATGTGGGAGCTTGATGGTAAAGTATTAACTCAATGGAGGACTGAAAACATTTGGTGGTAATTATTCCCATGGGCAGTTTGAAAATACAACATGATAATGGCAGCCTCGCAGCCACAATGGAATTTATACTAAAGAGCCAACTAAATAGAAACAGGGATCAATTTAGGAAAATCTTCAAAATGTATCTTAATAGCCTCTTTTTTAAAAACAGTAATACTGCCTTTTTTGTTTTTGTTTTTTACCATCCTATGGCAATGCAATTGAGGGAGGATACTGACAGATTCATTATTTAGCATGGGAGAAAAGGGCATCAAAATTACTTAATGAGTATGTGTCTTTTCCTCCTTTTACATACAAATTACATCTGTGCTACTTTCCAAGTTCCTCTGCATTAGAAATTAAAATGGCCTCTATTCTAGACCAGCAATATATATAATAGCTCTAACTTTTAGGTTAAAGAATCCTGCCTTCTATAACCAGGGCATCAGTACATTAGGCATTCTGCAGCAGCTTTTCCTCAATAAGGAAACATGGTAGCTCTTTACTTCCTTTATCTACTCAAAAAGCTTCATTTAAAATTAATGGAAACAAGAAAATCAATCTGGCCTCCCGAGTTTAGGAAAGAGGTTTCAAATTGGAGGCCTACAGGTAAAGTTTGGTCTGTAGATGTGTTTTGTTTGGCCTACATAGTACCCTGAAAATCAGGACTGCTCACATCAAATCTACATTGCCAATTTCTGATAGGGTAATTCTGAGTCCATAATCCTGCATGACAAAAATTAGCTGGAATTTACCATAATCCCTTTCAAAAAGTCACCAGATCTTTCTATGCCTAGTTGTGAAATGCCTTACTAATATATAGTAGTACCTGGCTTCTATAGATACTTGAGTCACCTTCAGTCTGGAGTCTAAAACATCGAGGAGAGATTGACACAGATTCCAAGACCTGTAGGGTACCTGTAGATAATTGACCTTACAAAAAAAAAAAAAAAACAAAAACAAAAACAAAAAGAAATTGCTACATAAATAATAGTACCTTTATTAGTTATCTAATTTTTTTTTTCAAGAACTCAACAAATTGTAACTACTAGCAAATTGACAACTTTATATGTTCAGTAGTGCTACTCTAGTTCAACTTTGTTAAAATGCTATTTTTCCCCATGAAACTAATATTACACTATATTTTAACTAACTGGATTTTTTAAAACATGCTGTCTTCTTCCAAGAAGGAATGGAAGAAATTTCTATGAAATAGAGAAAGTTCAAGAAAATAACCAATGAGGCTATTACTTTGATTTTTAACTCATGCTTTAGCAGTCTAATAAAATTGAAGGCTACTAAAAAGTAATATTTTCATCTGTCAAGATTAAAAAAGTGATTAGATACAGTGATTATTTCTTAACTAATCCAGGATTTAGAAAAAGTCCTAAATGTTAAGAAAACTTTTCATTAGATTAAATTTTTGTTTTAGAAAACCTCTAAGCCTTTCCAAACAAATAAAAATAATGGAAATTCATTTTGATAAATGCTTAACCACAATAATTAAACAGAAATGCAAATACATGTTAGTACAATGAAATATTTCTGACTGTGGAAGAAACATTTTCCTCTCTTTCATTGGTATGGCAGAAAGAACACCTAACTTGGGGCGCCTGGGTGGCGCAGTCAGTTAAGCGTCCGACTTCAGCCAGGTCACGATCTCGCGGTCCATGGGTTCGAGCCCCGCGTCAGGCTCTGGGCTGATGGCTCAGAGCCTGGAGCCTGTTTCTGATTCTGTGTCTCCCTCTCTCTCTGCCCCTCCCCCGTTCATGCTCTGTCTCTCTGTCCCAAAAATAAATAAACGTTGAAAAAAAAAAAAAAAAGAAAGAAAGAAAGAACACCTAACTTGAAGTCAAAGATTAGTTTATCGAGACCCTTGCTACGTGATCTTCAGCATATCGCTTTGCCTTCTGGTCCCTTTCCTTTGCCTATAAAAATGGGGATCATAATCTCTATTTCATAAAATTGTTGTAAGGATTTTAATGAGAATATATATCAAAATAGTTATCACAGTGTCTGGCACAGAGAGCACTTAAAACATTTGTGTTCCTCTTCTCTTCCACAGGAGGTCTACACACCACCACTGGGGCTGCCACCACGTCTCTAGTGATCCCTGAGAAGTTCCAGCACATTTTGCAAGTGCCCAACATCAATGGGTGGTGGAAAGTAACCTTTGCCATCACTGCAATTAAGGGTGTGGGGCAAAGATATGCTCATGTGGTGATGAGGAAAGCAGACAATGATCTCACCAAGAGGACAGGAGAGCTCACTGAGGATGAGGTGGAATGTGCAGTCCCTATTATGCAGAATCCACGCCAGTGTAAGTTCCCAGACTGGTTTTTGAATAGACAAAAAGACGTGAAGGATGGAAAATACAGCCAGGTCCTGGCCGATGGTCTGGACAACAAACTTTGCGAAGACCTGGAACAACTGAAGATTTGGGCCTACAGAAGGCTGGCACCACTTCTGGGGACTTCATGTCCAAGGCCAGCACACCAAGAGCACAGACCACCGTGGCGGCGCCATGGGTGTGTCCAAGAAGAAATAAATCTGTAGGCCTTGTCTGTTAATTGTTTATACGCCTATAAAAATTTTTCTGTTCTTTTCATACATGGGAGGCGAATGCGTTCCCCATATAAAAAATGAAAAAGCCATGCGGGATGAATAGGCAAAGCACTGAGTATTTTTAGGGCAGTGAAACTATTCTGATACTTGTCATTTAAATTTGTCCAAACCCATAGAACGTACACCAAGAGTGCACCCTCATGTAAACTATGGACAGGGTGATAATGATGTGTCACTCGAGGTTCATCAAATGTAACAAATGTATCATTCTAGTGGGGGATACTGATAAGGGGGAGGTTGTGCATGTGTGGGGTCATGGGGATATATGGAAAATCTATGTATCTTCTGCTCAATAATGCTGTGAATCTAAAACTGCTCAAAACAAAATCGAGTTTTTTTAGAGCCATGGGTTTAGAAAAATGACTAATCTTGAATATTTTTAACCAAATGTAGAATTTCTATTATAGCTATTTCAATATAGCTGTCAGAGAATAATGTTATAAATCAAACATTAGTGTGGTGCTGACCCTGAAAATTATGGCTACTAGTATGACTCAATATACAACCTAAAAACAAAGCAGGAATCTAACAACAATGCATACATATGTTCGTGTACAAGACACGTATAAGAATGTTCGTGGGAGCACTATGTGTATTAGCCCTATGCTGGAAACAACTTACATGTCCATCCCTGCTACAACTGTGGTGTACTTATATAATGGAATAATAAGCAGCTTTGAGAATGATTAATTGCAAACACACATGGTGGAAAAAATCTCACAAAAATAATAAAGGGCAAAAGAACCAAACACACAGAAAAATTCATTATGATTTCTTTTATATATAATTCAAAATCAGGTAAAACTTACTTATGATATGAGAAGTCAGAATAGAGGCTATCTTTGGGAGGGGATCATAGTGACTAGAAGGGCTTTCTTGGATTACAGCAGTATTCTGTTTCTTCACTTTGGAGGTATACAACGTGTTCACTTTGTGAAAAATTATTGAGCTCTAGAGTTATAATTTGTGCATTTTTCAGGATGTATTATTGGGTATATGTATGTTTATATATCAATAAGATTTACCATAAATAAATAAAGCAACAGTAAATTCACAACATGAACATAAAATATGGGAGGTACTAGGTCCAGCCTGGTATTTATTCATGCAACTATTTATTGAAATTTACCTTGTACCCAGTACTGTTTGATTTTGGTGATACAGTGGTAAATGTTATAGGCTGAATTGTGTCTTCCCAAAATCCCCATGTTGCAGCCCAAACCCCTAGTACCTCATAATGTGACAGGGTCTTTACAGAGGTAATCAAGTAAAATGAGGTCATTAGGGGGGCCCTACTCCAATATGACAGGTGTCCTTATAAGAAGAGGAAATTTGGACACAGACACAGGCATAAAGGGAAGATGACATAAAGACAGAGGAAAATGGCCACCCATAAGTCAAGAAGAGAGGCAGAGATCTGGAACAGATTCTTCCCTCACAAGCTTTCTAAGGAACCAGCCCTACCAACACCTGGATCTCCTCAACTTGTAGCCTTCAGAACGGTGAGACAATCCATTTCTGTTGGTTAAAACACTCTGTAGTACTTTGTTTCAGCAGCCCTAGAAAACAAATACAGTTAACCCTAGCTCATTTCCCATACCCTCAAAAGGTACTGTCCTTGCCATCAATTACAGTACTGTTCCCAACTACAACGATGATAACTGCAATAAAAGGAAAATTCGCCTAATTGAGAAAGTCATGAAAGGCTTCCCTGAGGAAGTTTTAACTAAGCTAAAAACTGAAGTAAAAAAAATATATATTTTTATTTATTTATTTACTTAAAATTTTTTATTTTATTTATTTATTTATTTATTTTTGAGAAAGAAACACAGAGTGTGTGGGGGGGAGGGGCAGAGAGCTGTCAGCACAGAGCCCCATGCAGGGCTTGAGCCCATGAACCATGAGATCATGACCTGAGCTGAAGTCAGATGCTTAACTAAGCCACTCAGGCATCCCTAAAAGAAATTACTGACTAGGTAAAAAGAAAGGGACAAGGCTTCCAGGTAAAAGAAATAGCATATTTTAAAACCCTTTATGTAGAGACCACTTTTAGGCAAACAGGCTTGAGCAGCATAATGTAGAAAGGGCCCACAGCAAACCCCTGGCTGAATACAGACAGGGCCGTCAGGAGACTCACCTCAAAATATCTATAGGCCTTAACTGATGAATGGGCTACTTACAACCAGCAGTTACCAAAAAGGGAAAAATTCCATACTTTCCCATCTCACCTCACCTTCCAGCTTTAAATACAGCACCGCTCCCCCGTCAACTGGCTCGTTGCACCCTGCCTTTCCTCTGCTGTCCTGCCTGCTGCTCTTTTGCAGTGTATTCAATAAACTTCTATCTCCTTTGTTCTGCCTCGAATGAATCCTCTCACCTCCCCCACCAACGGCTTCCACCCGATGGTCACCACCCATCTGGGAGCCCCCATTCGATCAGGGGAGACACGTTTTTTTCTTTTAACTTTTTTAATGCTTTATTTTATTTTCGAGAGAGAGAGAGCAGCGGAGGGGCAGACAGAATCTGAAGCAGGCTCCAGGCTCTGACTTATCAGTACAGAGACAGATGCGGG